TTACATGAGACACTCTAATTCAAGCAAAAATTAATTCATGGCACTGCTCTGTCTTTTACTATCTGTAATTCAGATGAGATAATGTTATAAGGGTTTCTTCTGCCTTATAATCATTGAATCAGGACAGAAGAGCTGTTTGGAAGTGAAATGCAGACCTCAGAAATTTCGCTGATATATGATACTGTCTTCCTTGGTCTGGAAAACCAAGTTTTCTCAAGGGTCTACTTGCACCAACCTCTCAGAAAGAGGAAAGGTCTAACAGGCATACTTTTAGAAACCTAAAAATAACTTAGGACATATCTTTCCAACATAAGACTACCATTTTTGCAAGACCAGACGTCTTGAGATCTTACCAGGACAAGAAGCCAACGTCACACACATTCTTTTGGAAACCCCCAAAGCAGAGTTACCGATGAGCCAGTGACACAACTTTGCTCCCAGGGATGCAGACATACTTTTCGACAGCCAGTTCGGGAGGGTACCCCTTCTTCACTGTCTGCACCAGCTACCGGTCTCTGGTCACTGTATTTCAGCCCTGATGTTGCAGAAATTCCCCCTTCCAATTTTTGGAGGGATAAAAAAAATCAGAGGCCCACTTAAACCACAGCTGAACTGAATCACACCATCAGGTTTTGCCTGACTCCCGCTCAAGCCGCTCTGCTGACACAGCTGCTGTGCTGGTAGCCTCCAAAGCTATCACAACTGCTTGCAAAGTGGAACTCTGTCCATGGCCTAACTCAGCACTGACACATGCTGATGTAAAATGGTACAGGAAAAAATGCTTACCTCTGCTAATCAACTCTGGTTTTATCTTTACTTTTCCCTGTTACCCCTAGCATCAGCAATCTCATACACTTATCTAACTTCAAACGAGAGCATTTGCTAAAAGAAAAACCTGGACTAATGTACCAGGAAAGGAAAAAAAACCCCAGGCTAAAACACTGTATGTGGCAGCTGTCTTTCATACTTTTCTTTTAAAGACAGGTCACACGAATGTCACTTATTTTAGGACAATGGTTTTCCTCTGCCCAAGAGAGCTGATGTTCTCCCGCTACTGGCAGTAGTCAGTCTACATCCCTGGCATAGGACAAACAGATACATGAAACCAAGGTTATGGGGAAAAAGCCTGCAACATCAAAAGAAAGGAATCCCAGAAGTTTCTAAGCTTGCTCCTCTGATAGTATTGACTGTATTTTTTTGTCTTTGTGGATGCTAGACTGATGCTCTCAAAGGCTAAGAACAAAGCTTAGAAAAATAAGGCTCACAAAAACAAACACTTTTTAAAGTTGCCAAACCTTTTTGAGTTCCAAAAAGAAAAATAGATACACAGAGAGAGAGAGAGAGGGAGAGATATGATTGCAACCCCCAGTGCTCGTACACCTGACAAATATCCACCTAACAGCCAGTAAAATCTAATTGGGGTAACTCTAATAGGTACTGGTCGAAAATGAGGTTTTCATGAGTTTGCAAAAGCCATAGACAGTGCCAAGGTTGCCTCAAGGAGAGGCAGGGATGCTCACAGGGGCCTTCCCCTGGCAGTGATGTTGCAGACAGACCTTCATGGGGCGGCCAGGGCTGAGCAGACAAGGCAGGTTGTGTCTTTAACAGGCACAGCAGATTTGGAGGAGGATGTTTGCCCGTGGCCTAAGGTGCAGAACGGTTTCATTTTGTATGTGAACACAGAAATATTATTGTCTCACCGTGGCAACAGCAATTTCACTGAAAAAAAAAAGCTGTTCCTGCTAGGAAAAAACAGCTTTTCATTTGCTGCTACTTGTCAAATTCTGCTTGGTGCTTTACTACAGCTCACCTGACAGCAACCGCTGGGCAAACACGCAGTGATTAATGCACGCCAGTTCCTCTTTGGTCATGAATTCTCTGTGACCAGACAGGGAATTCCTTCATGTTCAAAACGTGCCCATGGATGATTTTTGTAGGCCTTATTCAGCCTGTGTATTGCCTTACAAACGCACTTTGCATTCCTGATGTAACGCTAGTTTGGAGCTGTTGTATCTGGGCACTAGTGTGCTGCTGCAGTTATTTTGGCTGAGTATAGCTCTGAATAAGCATATAGCCAAAAATAAGAATTTCAGTGGGGTTATCCGTAAATATTCCCCACCATTTTCTTCTAATGTGTCATTTCCTCATGGGAAAGGGCCCAAGAAGATTAGGCAGTGTTGCGAAAGGCAGGTATTGAAAATCCATCCCCTTGCTCCAGCTAGTGCAGGTAACAGTGGCTATGAATCAGCTAAGGACCCGGCTTGTGCAAGGCAGAGCCTGTCCCAGCCAGGGCTGGGAGCCTTGTCTTCATATAGGATGAGTCCTAAAATCAGGACTCCATCAGTCAGCAGTGGGGATAAAAAATCTCCCAAAAACTAATTTGGAAATGTTCAGGCACTTGCAGTTTTTAGTTCTTAATTTATTCTCTTACGACCCAGTGCTCCAGAATGAGCCAATCCCACAAAACCAGACTGTTTTCTAGTCGTGCGGGTGTGCACATGAGTGTACGTGTGTGTGTGTGGGCAGTGCACGCCCTGTCATCTTGGGACGTGTCTACAGGGGAAAACGTGGGGTGTTTAAGGTCTATCCACTATGTGGATGAGTCAGTGGGAATACATTACAGCATGTTACACCCTCTGAAGGCTCTAATCCGGCAACAAGGTGTCCTTAGAAGAGAGTAAATCCTACTGTGATCTCCTGGATCAGAGCATCTACACTCCAGTCTAACCCTGCCAGACACCGTCTTCCCACATTCTGCCAATCCCTTATAACAACCCTGGCCCTCCCCACACAGGGAGGCTTCCTATCTTTCCTCACCACCATACCGTCTCAGGAACATGGGATCTTCACGGCCTTTTTGCTATTCTCCTTGCTGAACCAATCCGCGCGTAACTCCTGTGTGGGTGCAGCACATCGCAGAAACGGATTTGGCCTCTGGTGCCTGAACCTGCCCATGTGCCTGGTGGAATCACAAAGCTTGTTCTGCCTTTGAAAGGGCCTTCTTAACCTTGAGGAACGCTTGTCTATTTTTTCAGTGTTCCCATGTTGTCTGATTATCCCCTATTCTTTTTTTTTAAATATTCCTCTTTCTGGAGTTTAGCTCTTGTGCAATGCTAAGTTTTAAGGAGCAGGAAGGACCAAAGGAAAGAACTTGAATTCCTTTCACTCTTCTTCTTCTCCCCCCAAATCAAAGTTTCTTGAAAAGCACCACAAGTAACTGGATCCTGGTGGTCAGACCCCCCTGTCAGACTGTGGGGGGGGGACCCCCAAAACAACCTCCACTGAGCTGCGTGCGCTGGGAGGCAGAATCTCCCTGCAGAGGGGAAATGAAAAGCCTTTTGCTTTAATTACTGAGTTAATTATTTATAACCCCTGTTGGCTGAGCATGCAGCCTCCTCCAGCCAGCGCTGTCCTCTCAGCATTTGTGCAAAAGCTAAGGAAACAAATTAAAGATGGGAAAAGTGTGCTTTCTCAGGCTGAAAGTAGGAGGGCGAGGTATCATAAGACAGAGGGAAACGTCTTTCAAAATTCCAACACCTGAGTATTAGTCCACCTCATGACTTTAATGTATTTAACCTTGTGAAACTCTACAGAGAGAAGAGGTGGTATCATTCTCACTTCGTTTTCTGCACGGGTATACATAAAACTGCACCACCACGAACGCTCCAGCTACCCCAGCTAGCTTCCCTGCTTAACTTTAATGAAGGGACTTTCACTGACGTCTGAGGACCAGGACCTGGGTTACAGCAAATAGTAATTTTTTAAAAAATTAGCCACTGAAGTTATTGGCTGCTCTACAGTTTGCATGTCTCCCTCTGCACAAGACAACATTTTTAGCTTTGTAATTACATGGTAGGTGCCCAGCGTAGAAGTGCAGGGTCACTATCGGGGCATCGCGGGGTAATTATGTGGCCATTTTTGTCTTGTAAATTACAGAGTTATCTTGGATGGAGAGAAGGAGAACTGTGGCAACTGCTTGACTAATTGGTAGTTTAAAGTTTAATTACCCCAGGCCTGACGTGCTACCTCGCAGATGCAGAAGTGGGAGGGAAGAACAACTCCAGACCCCGCATATGGCTCGCCCAACACGGACACGGCGGGTGCTGGTGGGGGAGCAGCCTCAGCCCCAGGCTGCTGACACCAGCCCATCCTCCTCTGTGCATCCCCCTGGATGGACGGACACGTATGGGAGGAGAGGGTAGGAGCTCTGCTGCAGAAAACCTCCAGCTGCCCTATGGATTGAGGCTATTCCTCTCTCACCTCTTCCCAAACCTCCCTAGGAAGAGAAATTCTCCAGCCCCCTGGGAGATGACAGCATATTGTTCCAGAAGGATGGCCCTACTGCTGCCTAGTACTGCTCTGTCCTCAGGGAGTGCCTCCCTGCATTAGAGGGAGAACCCTTTCCTTAAAGAAATCTTTACATCCAACTCATTCCTTAGAGCCATGACCGTCAGATTTGATTTAGCACCAGGTTGCAGAATAGGTACGCGTTTGATTTTTACTGGAAGGCCAGAGGGATATTGGTGCATCATCGTTAACAAGTCTGCCCTTAGTGGGGCTCTCAAGGATGGCTGTGAAAGATTTCACCAGGGGAGATGCATTCTGAAATGGGGTTAAAACTAGTTAGAAAATGCAGGTTGTTACCAACAGTCAACAGCCACTTCTTGTCCTGACGAAACAAGCTAGGAGGGCAATGCCAGGGCCTCAGGTGCCCAAGACACACAAAAACATCGTTACCGCAACAGGCATCAATTGACAGTTCATTTAATTGCTTTGAAAAGATGCAGATCAAAGCTGGAGGCAATAAAACTCCAGCAACCTTGGAGATTAATGTGCTGGCTCAAGGGAGAAAACACCACAAGAACACCACAAAGAACTTTGGTACTTTCTTAACCAACAGGTGGATGTGAAAAAAGATGTCCAGCTCAGTAACTACAAACACACTGCTTTACAAAATATGAGATAGCAAAAACACCCCACCATCAACGAGGGCAACTCACCAGATTTGCCAGAATGTAGTGGTACCCATTCCCATTTTTTTCAAGCTTGATGATCTGAAAGATGAAAACCAAGGATGTTTAGCAGAGACCAACTAAAGAAGAGGAGATTCCTTTACCCGCCCTTTCTCCCCCCTGAGTTTTCCTCAATGAGACAGTTCAGTTGTGGACAGGAAGACATAGCAAAAGAAAAGTTCGCAATCTTATTAGAGGAAAGACAATTTTCACACATGATATTTGAGCATCAAGTCTGAAATTAGACAGGACAAGATCCCCAAGCAGATTCCACAGGCAGGGAGAGTAAACTACCTAAACCAACCTGTCTCAGGGGAAAAAATCCCAAACAGTGGCTTTTTTTTTTTTTAAGGTTAAATGAGATGTATATTTCAGACACTAAAGGAACAAAGTGAGGAGCTGGGGTCCATTTGTCCTGTGAATGAAACATCCAGCAAGACTAGAGAGCTATTTTGCACGTTCTCCGAGCTAGAGCCCGTGCTGCAGATACCTGAGCGGGATGTCGCGAGGTTTAGACTACAGGGCAATTTTTCTCCTTTAGTGCACTGGGGTAGCTTCCAACCACATCTCCAGCACAAACCTGCCTGCGCAAGTCATGGAGGATTCCCCTTGCGTGTCCATTGAGATTATTTATATCTTCATATTCATGGTGTCCCAATATATGCTCTTTGCCACTTCCTGCTTTCTTCCTTAGGTTTTTATTCTCTTTTATCAACAGAGTTGGTTACAGATCTGTAACTTCTGAACATTTCTGTGTTAGCTGGAAAAGTTTCCCTTCTCTGGGTAGAAAGGCAGCACTTGTTGCAGGCTTGCCTGTGATTCTGGGAGGCAGAGCCACTGACCCCTAACTGTCCCTGTCTTTTTCTCTCTTGATGTAAAAAAATACAGAAAGGATACAGCTAAAAACCACATTATTTTTACTGGCTCCATGTTTCCACTGAAGTTCCTCTCCATTGATTTCCAGCAGCACTGTTGTATTCTTACCGGGTTGCTACAGCCAGATACCATCTGCTCTTGAGCCAACCCACATGCAGTGAAAAAACAGGCCCAAAGCAACATGCCCTCAGAACCTGTAACAACACAAGAATTGCCCGTTTCTGAGAGAATTGTGCTGTTTCCATAAGGTTTCTTTGCTAACAGCACTACCTCTTATTCCCATCGTCGTATGAATCGATTCCGAATTGCAGCCTGCACTGCCAGCGCTCAGGCAGCGTGTGCAGACAGCAGCCAGGACAGCTCCTCACAGCCGGAATGGTGACTTATTCCCATCGTCGTATGAATCGATTCCGAATTGCAGCCTGCACTGCCAGCGCTCAGGCAGCGTGTGCAGACAGCAGCCAGGACAGCAAGCTCCTCACAGCCAGAATGGTGACAAAATGACAGTCGTGCTGGATGCGACCGGAGGTGGGTCTGCCCAGGATTTCTCTGATACCCGGCGGCAGCAGGTGCTGGAGAAGCGTCAGACGAGGGCACGCGCAGACTGATCCTCCCCACGGGACAGCGCTCCCAGGTTATCCTGAGCAGCCATTTAGGGATTTGCAAATGGATTATAAATGAGCTGACACTTGCTCTGTGCAACGGGTTCATCTGCTTTCGCCTGTCACTGATGAAGTGCGCTTGTACGCACATTAAAAGTCATCTGGTTCCCAGCATTAGCGTGGGGTTGGCAATTAACTCTGATGAAGGCTTCGTTTAGCAGCAGTGTCTTACACAACTGGTATCAGCTCCAACAGCTTCGCTGCCCTGTGCTTCTCCACGCAGGATCCCTCAGCATGGCTTCTGCTGAGCAGTCAGAAAAAACCTCCATGTACCTAAGGCTGTGAAGAGATACACTCTCACTGTGGGCAGTGTTCTGAGTATCTTCCATCGCCACATCTGAGAAGTAAAACCAGACCCAGCTTGTCCCCTTCCATTCATCAGCTGCGACTGACCTTTGCAGCAAGTCCCAGACCTTGTGGGAGGAAGAAGCATCTCCAGGGCACTGGTATGTCTAAGAATTACAATCCAATTCCCCATTCCTCCAGTGTCAACATGAGCTGGCATTGGTTTCTTCTGCCCAAACTCTCCCTTTGTTATTTTATTAGGTGTCAGAGTCGATGAACCGGAGAGGGCTGCCATCCAGCTTTCCCTGAGCTGTTCATCTTGCAGCCCATCCACCTGAATTATGAGGCTTGCTTCCTGTGTTTTACACAGTTATTTGTGATCTTAATTTATTTTAAAATGCTTGCTCAGTCCTAATGTGTCCGGACGGCAGGAGCAAGCCGAGGTTATAATAGCATTTATCACTTAGCCTGAACGTGGTGAGAGGCTGTGCTGGGCTGCATGCTGATAGCTCACTTGGGCCACCTAGGTTTCATTACCCACTTCTTAATGGACCAGTTTGACATCTATTAGAGAGAAATCCTCTCAGAGTGAAACAGTGGCAAAGGAGAAATTCCAGTTATTCATTTTAATGAGAGACAAGGAAGAAACAATACAGGGCTTTGATGGAGTACAACCCACCGTTTACTTATCCCATTAAGGCTACACAGCGTGGCCCCGCGGATATCCTGCCCTGAACCAAGGCCTGGCTCATAAACGGCAGTTACCTTGGTGAAGATAAATCATGCCCTTGAGGCATGACACAGAGGAACCTCTGAGAAAGAAATCAGGTCATTAACATATTGAGCACTGCCTCCTTCGACAACTGCGGTCTCCAGAACGCAACGACAGCCTTGCTGGAGTCAGCAGTGGTTATTTGTGTTATGTGTACGGAGTGGGGAAAAGAAATTAAAAGTGTGCACAAGTGCCAGTGTGTAGGTGTGAGGGACTGATGCTAAACAGCCATCCCCAGCTCTTCCGTTCACCAGGGAGCACAAATCCACAGCCACCGAAAGACAGAGATAGGCTTGTCAGGGAAAAAGAAAAATGGATTAAAATGTCCCTGAGAGGCTGAGGCAGCTCTTTGAACACCTGAAACACTCAAAGAGACAGGGCACACAGAGCACTGACATCCACGCAAAGGTTGCTAGTGCGGTGAGCTGGGAGACCGGCAGCCAGCCCGAGTTTACGTCCCAGCTGAATTCCATGTGACAATGAGCCGAACACTGTCTGCGACTCCCTCCGGTCATCTGCATGTTGTGACCTGGCATCCCCTGCTTGCACTGGGATAACTACCTCTGCTCTCAGAAATCCCTGCAGACTCAGAACAGGAAGGCAAACGAGGATGAAAATGGACTACACGGGTCTGAATATGTTATTCACAGCCTTATTCCTAACAGGAGCGTTACCTCCTGGGCACAAACATCTGTTGGAATTGCTCTGCCTCTGAAGTCAGAGGACACAACATTGTCCCTCTTTTCCATGGGAATAGATGATTTTTACAGCATTGCAAAACAAATAATCACAAGATCTGGATTTTTAGTGTTCTTGCAAATGTCTTTACTTATATCTAAGTTTAACTCCTGCTCCAGTTTTGGGAAGAAGTTTGAAAGACTTATTTTCCTGTTCATATTAGGAAAGCTAGACAATATTCGACTAGAAAATTTCACTTTCTGTTAGACAAGCCAGGCTTAAAACCCCAACATCACTAACCCTAGAAATCTGATTTAGCCTATAGGAAAGCCTGCAGAAAAGGCAAATTCACTGCCTGCGTCCTGTCAGAAATTTTGTTCACCTGCAGCTACTCCATGGTCAGAGAGAAGACTTTACCCTCCAGAATCATCTGGTCCCTCTTGAGCATGACCTTTGAGATTAAAAACTGCTGCCTGCTTCGTTCTTATATATAGCAGAGTAGCACCCAGAGACAACCAAGGATGGATTGAGCTTGTTGCTGCTCTGTGCAGCTGGTGAGATGGCAGTCCTTGCCCCAGACAGCGAGCAGCTGAAGTGTGAGACAGGAGATGACAGGTAGCTGAGACAAGGTGACGTGTGGAGCACGAGGTAAGAGTGAGCTGGTACGACAGCGGGAGCCAGCGCACCGGCTGCGTGGCACTGCGGGGCCCTTTCTAAACACGTGGGATGGGAGTCCCAACGGTGGGGGCACCTTGGCTGGAGGTGTGAGAGGGAAAGGTATTACGGCTGGAGTTGAAGAGGGGACACAAGTGTACACTGAGACCTACTCATGGGCTTGCATTGGTCTCCAGTCCACAGAAGTCCATTTTCAGGACTTAGGGAAAGCATTAAGGGAGGCACAGAGGGAAAAACGATGGGAAGAATTTGAGTCTGCACTACCGGGCTACCTATCTAGGGCAGGGCACATAACCTAGCTGCTGAGTCCTCTACTGCATATCCCATCTGCCTTGTGGCCATGGGCTTACAAAACATCCAGGAGGTGGATGTGAATGAACGTGTATCTCTTGCTGCAAGGCATGAGAGGAGCTGAAAACATCTGATCCTACTGCAGCCTGGGGACCCTGGGAGGATGATGAGCTCTAGCCTGATCTGGAGGCAGTGCTTCTGAGGACACTACGGATGTACCATGAACTTCTCCATCTCTGTCCTGCTGGCACTGGTTGTGAGAATTTGGTGTGGCACATGAAGGCTGGAGGACCAGAAATCTGACAGTGCAGATTCACACCTCCACCCTAACTCACAGGAGGTGGGAAAACCAGGGAAAAACTCAGCAGAATAAGGAAGTGCTACGTCTTGTGCACACTGCTTGGAGGAATTAGCACAAAGCAAATTGGGCAGTAAGGGGGTGTAAAGGGCTCAGCAGAGGAGCCAAACAACAGGGAACGTGAAGTAACAGAGCTCACTCAGCATTAATACATGAGAGCTAGTATTTATAGGGCTTTACAGTGGCCACACTAACATGAGAGTAACATCTGCAACCTCTGCAGCCTGCTGCAATGCACACACACCACATCCAGTGAGAGCCACAATGAGACATGGGTCAGACACGAATGGGCAGGAGAACTTCTCCAGGAGAAACAACCCTTCCCATCTTGTGTGAAGGACCCCTCCCAGCAGACCCACACCAACAGAACCTTGCTCAGGATGATGTTCAGCCGCTCAGATTCACAGTCCACCACCACCAGCCTTTCCTTCTTCTTCTCCAGCTCCTGGAAGAGCACACGATAGCCCTCTTCTGTTGTTGTCAGGATGTTGACAGCTGTCACCTGCCAGTTCTTCTCAGCTGCAGTGTCCAGCACTTTCTGTAGGACTGACAACCCTACGATGGGAAGAGGACATCAGGGGAAGAACCAGGTTTTAGTTGTGCAATGCCATTATTCCATCCTTCTGACAGCCTGCATAGCTACCTGGAGCCAGGCTGGATACACTATCGCGAGTGCAGCAGAACTACGGACAGCAGCTAATAGCCTAGCATCTTACCCAAACACAGCTGGACTAGAACTAATGACTCCTGTTTTTTCGGTCCTAGCACAGAAAAACAGGATAATTCCAGGCCTGGCTTTCCTTTGTAATCAGCAGATCAGTCTCGTTGATCAGGCCCTGCTGTGGGATTCAGATAAGAGCTCTAATCCCCATTTTCTTGTCTGTCACAACCCAAATCTCTTGATTTCTCTGGGCCATAGTTCCCTTCTCGTCTTTGATCTGTTTTGTCTGTATGCTTCTAGGGTTAGGGACACCCTCAGCAATCACAATACACAATCATATTCAGCATCCCTGTCTCTATCATCAGCATCTCACCAAAAAACTTCATTATTTTTAAAAGGATCTTGACTAAATTACGTGCGCAGCCTTCCAGAGGAGATACGTGTAGTCAGCACCACACTGGATTCCTGCTAGACAACCCTGCCTACCGCAGTCCTTTTGGGATATTCAGCATGCACATGCCTCCGGACAACAGAAGACAGAGTGGGATGATTTTATACCTTCTCCTTGTCTCTTATGGTCATCCTGTCCTGCAAGGGTTAATGAAAACTTCCAGGACTGTGAATCAGCCTTACATCTGCACTGCCCTCCAGAAATCCGTTTTGCTCTCAGCCTCCAAGCCTGGAGCTTTAAAGGCATCTGAGAGCTGGGAAAACTGAATCACGGAGCAATGAGCTCACTAGCCCTGTTCATGGTTTAGAGAGTTAAACAATATCTTCCAAGAATCCAACAAAGACTTTCATTATTCACAAAGACAACTAACATACATTAGCACAGGGAACCTGGAGTTTTCCAAGCTATCTGCCAGAAACACACACACATATCATAACTGGATGTGGGCTCAGGTGAGACCTGAGCAGCTCTTCATTCACATTTATAAATGTGGGACTCAGTGGCCTTGAGCTCAAGTAAGGGACCTCTTCAGTATGGGATCTATTCAGTATAAACAATTTCCCCATTTGACACTCAAACCACTTAGACATTAAATATTTCCTTTGTACTCATGGGGTTCTGACCCTAAGAACACAGACGTACGGGGTCAAGAAAATGCTTCATCTAGGTCGATGCCCACCTTTGGCAGCAATGGATATTTAGAAAAGGAATAGAGAACAGGGAAGGTGTAGGGTGACCCTTACTTTAGCCATTCTCTCAGCCTCCATCAACTCACAGTAAGAGGACTTCTTGAAGCAAAGTCTCCGTCTAGACCAGTGTGTTTAATTTCCTGGTAACCCTTCCCAGTACTTGTGACTTACCCCGGTCAGCATCATAAATGTACACGAACTTCTGCCAGCTGTAGTGCTCGATGACATTGATGAGGGCATCCTGCAGCTCTGGGCGAAGCTGGAGAACAAACTGGTTGGACGTTTCGACGGGGAAGCTTGGAGTTATGAAGCAGACGTGGAGAGCCCCGCAGAAAGACGTGAGCATGTTGACAGTCCTCCTCTCGTAAAATCCAAAGATGGCGTAGACGCCCTTGGAGAACTGCGAGCAGACTGGAGGAGCAGAGAGAAAGGTTGTGAGGGCAGGACAAGGAGATTTCTCAGGGAAGTCACCAAAATAAACCTTTCTCCTGAGATAACCTGCAGGATCTCTGAACAAGATCATTTTCCCGAGGCCTGTGGGCTGGCCAACACAAGAGTGGAGTAGGAGTAGGAGTGCATTGGTACTTGGGGACATGTACGTGGCAGTCTCTGGTTTCCTCACAAAGCCATGGTGGGGAAGGCTGTGGGCCCACTGGTGGTGGCCTGGGAGGTCTCTGTGAGGAGTGCTTGCCGGGTTCTCTGGCAGATATGTGTGCCTGATCCCAGCAGCCGGTGCTGTGCTGCACAGCGAGGGCGCTCGCTCTCTCGTGTTGGAGCCCTTCTTAGGACAGCACTTAATGATACCGTGGGGGCTGCTGGAAAAATGCCTCAGGATCTCAGTGAGGCAGAGAGTGTTCACGCTTTCGGTTGTAAAACTCAGCCCCTGAGACAGTCAGACTCATTTAATATCACCTCTGTTTAGGGCACATTCCAAGTTACCATCAATAAATCTCCAAGGCAGAGGTGGTGGCAGTGACAGCATTTTCCCAGTGTCAGAACTCCTGGCACTAGTGTCTCCTCTCATTGCTACTTCAACTCTGAAAACCTTTGGCTGTGACATTTATACCGACTCAACACTTCACAAGTCACTCGTCTGCACCCCCCAACAGACTGCGGGGTGAGAGGTTGGATGTGACATTTTGGGGTCTCCTGCCAAGCGCTCTGCACTGTTTGGGAATTCCTTGACCTGGTTTCTGCTGGTAGCCGCCAGCACTGAACCTTCTGCACATGTAGCTGGAGACAGGCTCCTAACCATGAGCTGGCTTCATCCTTAGCCGGGCTCCATCCAAGCTCTGTCCCTGCAGCGGGGACCAGAAGTCATCCCCAGCTGGCTTACAGCCCTTCTGGATAAGATTACCCTGTTCCTCACTTCCCTACTGCCAGCATCAAATATTCAGAGGGAAGGGCAAGAAATCCATGTTCCCACTGTGCAAAGGGGGTCCCCACCCCTCTCTCGCCACCCAAACAAAGGAGCCAGATTTTTGAAACAGTGCAGGGTATTGAGAGCTGAGAACTGAATCTCATGACACTGGTGAAAATCTTTCCTTCCTCTTGGAGATGAGCCCAGGTTTTGGGCATCCCAGCCCAGCAGTTTGTCCCCAAGGTCACCCATCCTCACTGCTCTGTGATCTCACACACCTCATCACCCTCCTCCCCCGAGGGAATTTGTGTTTCTGTAGGCAGGGACTTCTCACAAAGCCCAAACCATGACGGAAATAAAGCCCTTTTCTCTGTATTTTCATAGCAGTGTCTCCCCGTGCAATCAGCAATCGTGTCTGTATCAGCTGGAGTCACTGCCCTCATCATGAGACTGACACGTTCAGGAAGAAAAGTAGCAGATAGGGACAGAAATAGTCTGAACATCACTTCCATGTGACTGGAGCAGTGGGTCTAATGGAGAGTGCGATATACCATATGTGAGAGATCAGAACGTGATCGCTGGAGACCCAGGCTTCAGACTCACCGCGTGATTAAAGTGACATTCTCGGGGCAGCTGAACAATCCAGCACAATTAATAATACAGACAATAAACGTAGCAGCTTGTTTTGTTTGGGTTTTTTTTCAGGCAAATCATGGATTTCTTGAATTTTATTTTCTATATGAAATGAATCTATTATTTTTTAGATATTTTCTTTTTAACTCTGTGGCTCAGTCACGCTCAGGCAGCCCTCCTACACTGTTCTGAGACACTCATCAATCCCAGCATTTGAAACAGATTGCGCCAAAGACGACTGGGAGAACGAACAGTCTTTATTATTAGTAAGTTTGGAAAGAACCCTAGCTCGCTTTGTACTTTCAGACTAAGAGAGGCCATGGACAAGGCAGATAATTTGGAAAAGAAACCCCAAACTTGGTGAAGGTCATCACCCAAAGAACATCAAAGAAACTGTTGTGTCAATTAGTCTGGAAAAATGAAAAGTGGGAGAACTGCAACTACTTTTCTGGGACTGAATTTGGCATAATGTAAAAGAGGTGGCTGCAAAATTATTTATATCTCAGGACTATTTTAAATTACGGATGTTCCAAATTAATTTACCCAGCAAAACTAAAAATATGTTATTTGTTATTTATTTAATACACTAAGAGATAGCTGGCATTTCTTTATAATTGCTTTAATTGTTTTATTTAGCAAATTTATTAACAACAGTGTTCTCATTTGATTACTCAGCAACTTCCTAATAACATACTATTAAGATTTGTAAACTTTAACTAGAAGGAGCAAATATTTTAAACTCTATTTTTCCAGTGGGGAGGAAGCTTATCAGTTCCTCATCACTAATGAGTCTCTGACTGATGCTTCCCTAGAAAGATTAAGAAACATAAAAAGGATAAAGGTCATGCTGGAATGGAAAGTCCAACACATGGAGCTTTTCTGGTCACTTGGCTGATGATAGCATGGCGTTTTGCCAGCTACCTGTTAGCAGCAGGACGGCCACAGCCCGGCTTTTCCTGCACAGGAGGGTTGCTGTCATGTGGTAGTTGGCTCCAGCAGCTGAATTTGGACAGTTCAGCCTCTGAAGCTCGTTCCTGCAGGCAAGAAACTGATTGAAATGCAACATTGCAAGTGTTGGCACATCCAAGGGTGCGAGCGTGAGTGAAGAGTGTTCACTCGGATGTAAATGCAGAGACTTGTGACAGTTTGCATGTGCTAGCCCTGGCCTCTGGGCTGCACACAGGGAAAGAAAGGCGGAGAACATCTATTCTGGGCTGTAACTATGCTATTATCTTACAAAGAATTTGTAATTAATTACAGAAAAGTTTTCCTCTAAACTAGACCTTAGAAAATATAGTTCATAACGACTGATAACCATAGAAACTATTACCATATTCACCCTGATCAGTCTCGTATTATTGATCAGGTTGGGACATCTGCCTGGCACATTCCCAATCTGCGCTGTACCAAGCACCATGGCCATCCCACATCCTTCCTCCTCCAGGCACAGGATCTCTCACTGAGGATCCCTAGTGCCATCCCACAAATAAAATTAGGTAAAAGCAGAGACATTAACTTGACTGTCACCTGGTTATGCTGGAAAGAGAACCCAGCAACAACCAGCTGCCCCCTGGACAGAACTCCACAGACCGACTGCAGCCAGGTGAGGTGAGAGCTCCTTGGACTGCTGTGAAAACACTTCCAGCAGCAAAAATCAAAATAGCTTCCTAAGATTCCTGGCACCCACTTGAAAAGTGACTGGTGTGGTAGAGCAAGAGGGAGGCGTCCCCTCTCCCTTTGTGGGAAGGTAGCCATCACGTAGCTGATGTGTCCTTGAATTTGGATTAGGAAAAAGCACATGTGCTTCACTCATGCTTGAAATACCCAGACTCTAGGACTTCTAGTCCTTCGATTTCTATCAAGTTTCTCTTTTCATATGGAAATATTCAAGGTAAATAATTTAAATCTGAGAGAGGAAACACTTATTTTGTCGAAAACACATGCAGATAGGACACCGGCAGCTGGAGACAGGCAGCTCTGGCCACCTTTGCAGAAAGAAAAATACATGCCCACGAGTTTAAATTGTACATTTTCTCCACAGAAGAGAGAAGACATTGAGGTAGTTTGAGGCTATAAAAATTCCTGGGAAACATTCTTGTCTAAATCTCTCAACCAGTCACAGAGAGAGTAGATGCACAAGACTGATTTTTGCATTCAGAAGGGCCAGGGGTATTTTGGAACTAGAGATTTGAGCCATGTGAAAGATGGATGTCAGATGCAACAGATATGTCTTTTGGATTTTGGTAAAAGCAGAAGGAAAACTGAAATGTTTCTCTCAGAAATGTTCATCACAAAGAGGGGCTGAAACAGTGTCTGCATTTGAGGGAGGAGGGAGGTCAGATGGGCTGCAAAGAAAGACAGGAATGAGGATTTGGTCTCCAGGAGTGAAAATGGCACAATTCTGCTGAGAATCTGCAAGCAGGATTGCAAAAAGGGAACTGCTCCCCATGGACCCAGCTGGAGAAGAAGCCTGGTAGGAGATCCTGGCAACTGCTCCTCTGCCATTTCCTTTAGAAGCAGAATTTTCACCATTTCACTGAGTTTAAGACTAGAAGGGGACATTAGATCATTTCTACTGACTTTTTGTATCTCATGGACCATTAAGTTTCACCCAGCTACACCCGGAGGGAGCCAATAATACGGTTTAGTTGACTCTCGAGAGCCTCAACTGCTGTGTGCCTCTGTCAGAGAACAGAAGTAGCAGAGACAGTGCAAATACCCAAAGCTATAAGAGCCTGATTAAACGAAATATCCCCAGATGTTCCTCACAAATGACTCGTTCTCTGCTGCAGAAGACGACAAAAATTCCAGATGGTCCCTGCCAGATCTCAGAGCCCTTCCCGACCCTGACGGATGTCGTATATGAGGAACGTCTAGGAGGGAAGACATCACACCCTCTCCAGGAAAGCCATTCCTACAGTGCTGAGCTGCAGATGTTGTGAGGTTGTTGAGCAAACTACTCTTAATAGCCTAAGCAGTCAGGGAAGAAAAAGGGCAATTTGGAAATGTAGATGCCAAGAAAAGAAGAAATCTTTGAAACCACCCAATCCAGCACACACAGCACTTACTCCAGAAGCCAAGCTAAGAGAGGCGTTTTAAAAATTGCAAGATGAGTGTCATCTCAATCTACTGTCCTCTGTAAGCTATTAAACAATAGCCCTGCAACGCTTGCAGCCCCAATATCAGCCTGGCACCTCCTTCATCTGCCCACCCTCCTGGGACAGAGAACCAAAACCCTCCCTTGCAGCAAAACATATCCATTGCCAACAGTGGTGTCAAGGAGCAGCTCCCACATACTTTTCTTCACTCACTTGAGTGTTTGCATGCACATGGGGGAAAGGGGATGTGCATGTGTAATTTATTTTTAGCATGCCCTGCCTGGAGGCGACCCTCACACGATGATGGAGAACCTGACATC